TTTCCATATTACGTGCATGGCAGTGTCAGTCCAAAGAATTTAATCAGGCAGTTGGTAGCGTCGCCGGCTGCAGTCACGATGCGACGGCGGACGTGGCTGTTTTTGCGGCGGGCGCATCGGCCGTGACGTCGAAAAGCTCATTTAAACATTTCTTGTACCTGTTCCTGCTTCAAAATCTAATAAAAAATAAGAATCTAAGCATCCCACGGACAGATTGCGCACGATCTAAATAAGATAAGGTGCACTAAAACCAACTTAGTTTAGACATCACTTGATGTTTTATTACTTGTTTTACTAGTTTATTTTTTAAGTTGTAAGCGTAGCTAAATAAGTTCGTTTGTTGTTTAGTCTAGTCATTTAAAAAACCAAATTAATTAATGGATTTTTTTATTACGCAAAATGAAATGACTCACAATTTTAGCAGATTATGTTTTTCCATGATATTTGACGCTTGTAACTTAAGAAAAAGTTTATACACAATAAAAACGAATTTGTATTAGAATTATTGTCATTCGACGTCATTCGACAACCCTATTTTTGTAATCGTGACGATAACAATTATGGCTGCGACAATTTTTATAATCCCCAGTTATGCTACAAATGAATAAGTCGTCCGAGAGTTTAGAGTCCACAGTTGAATAAATCTCAAAATAAATTAGCAGTTATGCGCCGCGTGACAGTTATCACGCTAGCCTATATTGCGTCTGAACAAGAGCATCGTTCTGAATTTATATTACACATTATCTTCGTCTGGAGTTAGCCGACTGAAGCTTATTGCGCCTTATGAAGTTATTACTCTTCCGTCACACATACTTGCCAAATGAGAGACGCGGAATGAGCACGGAACCACTCTTAATTAATCAACACTTTTAAGTAATTTTTTACCTTCACCGAGCCATCGGTATCGCTTAGGTTTTTTTCCGTTTTCTAAACATTTGTCAACTCGATCACAATTGAATCTTTATACAAAGTGACTCGTTTAAAATATAAATTATTTTAACAGTACTTTGGGCAAACATTTCTTTGCAAATCAAATGAAATTAATTGTTGATAATGCAGCGCTATAAACTTGGTATAAGATGCGCTCCGCTGGCGAATTTGGTGTCCTCGAGACGAGCAATCGGGTTCAACGACCCGCCGTTCGTCTTGTGCCCGCAAAAAATGCACTGCCCCATCCCACGCCGAACGCAGTCCTCTCTCACACAGATACAATTATAACGTTTATGAACACATACCGAGAGCACGATTACCAATCGCCGCACGCGTAATCGCACGGCGCACGGCGGCGTACCGCACCTCGCGCGCGCCTGCCCGCTGCCCGGTGTTCGGTGCACGGTGCCCGGCCAGACGGCAATTAGAGACGCGTGTTTACTGTTTGCACGATTTTAAACTTGTGCTGTACCGTAAATCATCATATTTTAACAAAAAAATAAAAATCTTTACTATCGATACAATATAAAAGGTACCCGTGTATTGTATCAAAGGAGTTTTGAAATGTTTTAACGTTCTTGTTCGAATGGATTATTGTAGTTAACTTACTATGCACAAGTTACAAGTGATCTATGATTACTTATTAGGATAATACTAATTGCTTCTTTTACCACGTGGTATAATCGCAACTCGATAAAACCAGCTGGTGAATGAAGTGATAGAACTTCATAGTTAAAAATACTGCTGTTAACCGCTATCCAAAAATTATGACCACGTTGGCATAAGTAATGTAAAATATTGCAGGTTTTGTTTGGATCTTTTACCTAAAACTCCTTTGATTTTAAGCTCTCATTAGTTTCTTTGTTAAAGATGACTGCTCTTGAAAACGAAATTGTCGTACAATAATTAAGATTAAATTTTTTAAAGACATTTAAAGTTTTAGATTGAAACGTACAAAAAACAATTTCAAAAATTTAAATAAGCATTTTATAGTCGGATACGGGAAATGTCCAATTTACACAAACATTCAAGATACAGTTTTAAACGCGATTTAGCCAACAAAGAGGTTCAAATTCTCGGTCGAGTGCATGCCTCCGAGTATCCACACACCAATTAAGCTAAATTAAATATACCAAGAATTTAGAAACTGCTTAGCTTCCTTGAAGCGCATCGCGGTAATTGGCTTACTTGCTCTACGAACATTCGTGATTTATTTACTGTTTTTTTCTTATACACTAGGCCAAAGACTCACGTTTCGGAGCAGTATTTAATTCGCTTCTCGTGGAGAGATTGTGGCTGCAAAAAATCATTAAATTTTGAGCTCTAATTAAAGAATCTGCTTATACAGCATATATTACGAGTTTAAACCGTTAGTCGGAGATAAGAAGGATCGAAACGTTAATTACAGACTTTTAATATTTCTCGGCGGCGAGCGAACGAACGCCAAAAATTATTTAATATCGATACATTTGTAAATTCATAAGTGCGAGATAAGAAAAAGGAGCGAATAGTATGTGTTGGTTCTCGCGGAGGTCCTGGCTGAGGTTAATTAAAAGCGTCGGGGCGGGGAAGAGGATGGCTCCTGGGCTTGGGGCGCGCGCGTCTGATGACTCCGTTTACACGTTAATTAAGTCGCTACATGCCAGTTGTTTTTTCTGTTCAAGTTGCCGCTGTATTTAATAGTCATAAGCTGCAAATAAGGTAAAAATCAACTTCGGTCCGTACTATGGGCAAAAGGGATTTATAAATCACATTCACATACGTTTAGATTTTAAGACAGAATATGTAAAATCAATGACCGATTACATTTTTCAAATCCT